ATGAAAACGTTATTTTGACGGACTAATATTATCCAGTGCGAATTAGATGTTTTCCATTAATTCGCCTGCAAACGCTTTTTTGGAGATGTGTAATCAAAATATCAGCCCTGGAAAACTACACGAATGGTAAGCAAGGGCTACATAGACCCAATTTTTTCAATATTGTTGTAGTTTTTCCATTACTAATCCTTGAAAAAGTAAAACAAATACTTATACTTTTTTCTATAGATCTACACTATTGTTATATGCATTTGCACTATTGTAAAGTGCTCGAGAATAGTTTGATAAGATATAGTAATTAACATAAATAGCAAATATTTTGTAGTTGTTGAAAATTGGGTTCAAGTTCCACTGCTATGTGGTCTACTTGAACCCACGCGATATTTTCGTGGACAAAACTTCTGAGATTTGCATTGAATACTTATGTTCTTAGGTTTTCTTGCACAAACATGAATGTAAATATACTACAAAACCCCTAAGATAACTTCCATAGTTGAAATACAATTTTTATTATTTAATTTCTTATCGGCAACGGTGGATACCTAAGAAAAGCATCACCTATTTAGAGATTATCTTCGAAAACAGTAACAGTTCTGCCAACCCCAAAAATAAATGGAAATAAAACTATTAACGCATTAAAAAGATAAAAAAGAAAGTTTTGGGTTACTTGATCCCTCTGTAAATGTGGGTCGAAGCTGCCCGGTTTTTGAGATTATGCTCACAATTAGGAAATATGACAAAAATGGGGAAGGTTGATGTACTAAATAACTGGTCAATGGCACTGTTTAAGCTAGTACAACCGCTGAAAACATTTTTTTTTTCACTGGGGTCCACGTAATACCCTAAGGGTCCAACTAGGCCGAGATGACGGTATTTACATTTTTCACAATCTTGAGATGATAGTGATATCATGATCGATTTAGATAATTTCTTCCCATAGACGAAAACTACCTTCTTCGTTTCGATTTGCATTTGATGGACATCAACTTAGTGTTTTATTCGTGCGTGTCTGTGTATCCCATCACAATAGAACTTTGCCTACCGGTCTGCTGCGATATTCAGTCGACGACTAAATATCGAACAATGTGATCTTATCTCGTAGAGTATCGTTATCGTAGCGAGGTGAGATATGCAATCAGCATGTTTTCGACTGAAGGTGTTGCAGAAAGGTGATCAGTGGTGCCAAAGCGAAACATGTCAGAAATGCATGGCGCCAGTATCGCAGGAAGTCCGTCCTCGTAAATAGCCTTTTTCCTTAAAGAGTCTGCTTTCGTAAGAACATGCATCAGCGAACTGCCAAGGAACAGAGAATAATCCCGGCTTATGGACGTGCGCTCCTGTGAACTCGCCATAATTCTGTCGAATATAATTTTATGTCGCGCTGTCAGCCATCCCTGTCAAATGAATCAGACTGTGGCATTGAGTTGCATAACGTAGTAATTCAATACTATTCTAGTGCTTCCTGTCATCCCTTCTCTTCTTTGGATATGCTGAATGACGAGTCGTGGAAAATATTTTTCATGTAGATGTGTGATTAAATGAATCCTCACAAATTCACACATTTTCTGTTTACACCATTGAAATGTATTTAGAATCAAATTATTTAGTTTCTTAGGATCCCCGAAGACAAATACGTAGCATTCCTGCACATGAAGATTACGTATTATTAAATTCTTTTGCAAGAGGATGGTTTTAACATGAATTTTGTTTTATAAATTCAATTTTTTCCAATTTATTTCTATAGAATATTTGGCAAATGACTCAATAATAATATTTACATCAGTGAAAATGTTACGCAACTGTAGGATTCCTATTTAAACAAATTGCTACGTTACATCTAGAGGTTTATGGCCCTGTAGTCTTATTTTGTCCCTACAAATTGATTGATAGTGAGATAATTGGGATGATTTTCCAGTCTTGTGTGGTTTTCTGGCAGGCGGTCGTTATTTATTCTTTGATGATCATTGTGAAGTACTTTATTGGTGACATACCAGGGTGCCTTTGTAACTGATCGAATATATTTGGACTGGAATCGCTGAAGAATTTTGATGCTGGAGACGTTGGCTGAGCCCCAAAGTAGAATGCCGCAGGTAAATATGGGTTGCAGGACACTTATACATAAATATTTGGTTTGACAGTGATAGTTGAGAGTATTTAGCGATTAGTCATTGCTAGGTTTTAGGTTTTAATTGTAGATCTTTTCTTTTTTATAAGCACCTGCCGCATTAATATTCTATTCAAATGAACACCTTTAGTATTTAACTTGGTTACTTTGAGGGATCTGTTTATTGTTTATTGCTAGTGCTGGACAATTTCCGTTTCTTAGGGTGAAGGTCACATGATTAGATTTTGATTCGTTGATTTTAATGTGCCAACGAGAAAGCCTCTGGTCTATTCTTTTAAGTGGTTTTCTAGTACTTCTGATGCTGCTTTGCGATCTTCGCTGGTACTACCGTATCATCGGTCAAGGTGGCGAGCACAACATTGTTTGATATTGGTATATCATTAGTGAATACGAGATACAATATAGGTCTCAACACACGTCTTTGAGGGAATCCATTTTCTATTGGTCGAAATGAGGACAGGGATGTTTTATATTTTACTTGGAAGAATTTATTTGTCAAGTAGAATTTGTTAATTTGTGTTCACTTCTACTTCTGCAATTGCTCTATTATTCGATTTATATGCAAATCTAGTGTGGCATGCGAATCTAACATTAAAAGAAGACTATTTTGTATGTTTATCTGAATAAGGTGTTAGTTATGTTTAATAAGAATAAATTGTGAGTCAAATTCATTTGAAAATCGTTATTTGCACACATATTTAAGAAGTTAAAAGTGCGAAGTCGTTCATAAGAACGTAGATTCATTTTCTAGAATTACTTACAGCTTTGGTTTCTCCGTATTAACTTGAAATTCTTCAAGTTTAGTAAGTCCAAGGCAATAGTGTATGTAGGTTTTTGCAAATTAATGTTTTTAAATACAATAACTCGAATCTAAATTGAAATCAATATGCAGCGCGATTTACTTGGTAATTCAATTGTTCACTTAAAGATATCAATACCAGTGTTGCCATCACCGTAAAAGAAAGTTATGACATATTGACCAAAAATGCCTTTTAGGGATTTGGTGTATAATTAGCGCCACCTATATAGATCGATTTAGAAAGCGCTGGTTTAATTCCCGTCGTTATCAGTAAAATCGCAGCGCCAAAAAACGAAAAAACGTGGTTTTGGAAATTTCTGTGAATCTGCTAGCCGGATCCGAAAGAAATGATGTTTCCCCATCAGGAGATTGTGACGCGTCGAACGAATCCTCGTACGCGTCGATTTGTGCAGGGGAAGTGGACGAGCCGCGAGGGACGGAACCGCACATCCGCCGAGTTTTCTCAAACACTGTATGGGGATTATGAACACATTTCGTCACGTACAAAAAAACTCTTACGCGTTTTTCGCGTCTTACGCGTGTGACTACAACAATTTATTTTCTCTCCATTCCTCAGAAAATTAAGTTCAGTCGGCTCGTCAAATATGATTTTTCAAATGTGTTTCGTTCTGTGCCACAGACGATACACCAGTCAGTTACGATTTCAAGAGTGTGCAAAAAATTTGTTTCCTTGGAACAAATACTGCGTAATTTTAAGTAATAGTATACTTTGCAATAATAACAAGCGAGAATGCGTGGCAAATCCTCATTTTTCCTACTATTAAAATTATAACTCAGATTAATTTTGAGATTATTCATGTTTTTTAAAATGTGCATGACATCATTTGAAGATCTATAATGTAATAAAGTTGTGCAGAAAACATCCAAATTACAATAACCAATATGGTTAAAAAATGCTTAGGAAAGTTGAGGCATATCTTAAAATTTCTAGAAGCAAGTATGCATGCTGAAAATTTATTGTGTGGGGTATGGCTGTTGAAAATTATAAGGATACTACATATTCACTATACACAAAATCGGAAACCCCAAAAACATTGTTTCAAGTCTTTCGGTATTAGTTCATAAGACTAATGAAATACGGGAGATTCACAAATTCTGAAAGAAGACAATCACTATTCACTGGGAACTGAGATTTGAACATGTTTGTGAAAATATACTTGAAAAGTATATACTATTTTCCAAGATCTATACATGTATATTGTAGGGAGTGGCAAAAATACCTTGCTGTTCACCTTAACTTTTACTGTAATGCACCGCATAGAATTTTTATATTCATAGATTTCTTTTACTTTCTCGCTACTATGAACACAGTATGAAGAAAGTATTGTAATTCTGAACAAAACCGGACACAAAAAAATATTTTCATCAAAAACAGGTCTTGAGGAAGATAGTGGAAGAACATATAATGGCGGCGAATACAAAATTATTGAGAAGATTGCGAAGGCATGCGAGTTGAGAAAAAATTCTGATGCATCTGCTAAGCAATGTTTGCATATGGGGCTTCTGCTGCCTCCGAAGCAAGCATTTCGATTCGGTGAAAACGACGAAAAAACCTAGTGGCTAAAAGAATCCTTTAAATATTAAAGCTACTATTTGGACCGACTCAGTTGAAAACCAGGGATTCATTATAATAAAGCAAGATTCGTCACTACAGGTAAAAGAAAACTCATTATTCCCAGGTCAACAAGTTTACCGATCATGAATTACATTGAAATGTGGATTTGGTGTTAATTTCTCAGAGACAGGCATTGTTTCAAAAAACCTATTGGCCGATTTTCTCAGAAATACCCCCATTTGCCCATCTGCCTGTATTTCTCCAAGCCATTGGTAAACAAAAGCTATTCCAGTTCACTGTACTTGTTTTCAAGATGCGCATGCATGGTTAGTGTGAACGTCAAGTGTCAGCCAGGTGTAATCGCGATTTTGATTGATTCAGTGATTCCGGGTGTGTCAAATGCGAGGGAAATTATTCCCAGAAGGGTAGTGAACCTTCCCCTCGCTATCCTGTCCCCGAGCCCTATCGCCGATGGCGGTGGCTTCGATTCGCTTGCTCACCTGCCGGCAGCCGCAGCGCACGACGGTGACGAGGGCGTTGTTGACCTCATTGTCGCTGCGGTGGCGCAGCCAGTCCTCGTAGCCCTGCTTCACCGTCGTCACGAAGATGACGAAGACGAGCGGCACGAAGCTCGTGGCTGGGCTCACGGGGCTCTCGATGCTCAGCTGGGGAACAAAAATCACTCATGACTAAACAAACAAAAAATAACAAGCAAACAAACAAAAAATAATAACAATAAATAAATAAATAAATAAATAAATAAATAAATAAATAAATAAATAAATAAATAAATAAATAAATAAATAGAAAAGAATACAAAGTTCAAATAATCGAAAATCAGACACCAATGTCTTTGAAGACAGTATATAAATGTCATTTGTGACAAATGTGTGTTGTGATTGTCTTAGAAAATTGACTGAAATTGAAAAAGGTCTGAATCAATATTTATAAAAGCGTCTCACCCGCAGGAATACTCTCGCTACTCGAAAACATTAATATATTTCATTTTTGTCAAACTGTGTCATTTCGGTACTGTCCCAAGTGATGATTGATGAATTATTTTGCTTCGAAGCTCGTCAGCTGCTGGAGTAATTAGTTCCGCAAGTGTAGCGCATGTTATGTCGCGAGAGGTGGCAGTGTTTCAGCCAAAGTGATATCCGGCACCGACCCACAGGACGGTTTGCGGAATATTTTCCTCTCCAAGTACCTCCCCCGAACGAGAACTATCCCAGTTAAGACAAACTAAGTTCCTGAGCGGTGTTCCGTTATGGATGGTAGTGTAGTGCTTGGAAGAATAAGGGGAAAGGCAGGGAAATTTGATAAGAATGGAATAATCGCGTGGGGCCCGTTGCCCGTTCTTTAAATTACGGCTTCAGCATTTGCCTGATATTGATCGAAAAAAAAAAACACGAAAAAACTCAGATGAGAACAGCCTTTCGCCAGAGTTCTCCTCCAGTATGCCGCTCAATTCGGCCTAGCTGTCCGCCAGGATCGGGACTCGAACACAAGAACATACGGGTCATACGCAGTAGAAACAGTTGTAGCTCTCAGCCAGTTCTGATGTCCTACGTCTTTCATAAACATAAAAAAGACGAACTCAACAATAACAACAAAAGCCACACTTTCCCCAAAATCGAGTTATTAACGTTTAATAATAGTGGAATGCTGTCAGTGGCTGGTATAGCCCATCTTGTAAGTGTTCTATGCCCCTCTATTATTCACAAATAAATATGGAAACATCCATTGTATACCTTCCCGCCTTCACTTCCAAGTTTCTTTGTAAACGTGTTTGGACATTTAAATAACAGATATTCCGGCATAGTGCGTGACAAAATTCTAGAATGGGTGATAAATGCCACACAAGGTCAAACGTTTTCTTTCTGAAAAGGTGACAAAAAAAGGAAACTGCCATTCCACACTTACCACTATCGTAGAACTAGTCGTAGAATTAAATAAGCAAAACGATTTTTTATGTCATTCGATGGGATCCTTCCATATTAATGACCCTAGGGTCATTCCATGTTCAATCAACGCAGTTTTTAATAAAATTTTACTTCACCATCGCAGATGCAGATGAAATTTGACACATACGTAGTATGAATGAGGAATAAGAAAACTACAAACTGTGAGAAAGAAAACTGTGTTGATTTAATATGGAATGACCATATGTTAAGGAGTATTTTTGGTGTTTACGCAGTCACACTGCGTAATGTAATGAAATCCGTACAAATCTTTCAAATTTTAAAACGGGTATACTCGTTAATTTGTTTAACAACGATTTGACTCTCGTACACGACAGTTAGGTATACCAGCAAGAAAAATATAACGAAATATTTTGATGCCCCACAGAGCCTACCTAACGAAATCGTGATGCCTTGTTAATGGGTATTTCAAGGACTCGTTCGGAGGTACAGAGAGTTCGAGAGACGTAAATCAAACATACGTATTAATATGCTCATCAATCAAAAATTTTTCCAACCACTGGTCATTACTTATTTCGTGCATTTCAAGGAGACGCACCGCCAAGGATGAGCCTTGGATTGCGAGGTAGCGGGACACTGGGTAACCTTCTGTGGAATAAGGTCATGATGTTTTGGTCCATTTACCACACTTCTCTCTAGTAAACTTATGTGTATGATGAAAATTAATAATATAATAAAGATTCAATAATAATAATATTAATAATAATAACAAAATAATAATGGATTATTCACAATGGTTAAATCATTATTATTGTTGATAGGCAATAGCCAAGCCAACAAAAATATGATTCAACAATTGTGAATTCCCTAATGGCTATTTCTTGACTTGTTCAGAAAGAATCCATTACCATTGTTTAAAATTGTATCAATTGTATAAAGAACCCCTCAAAACTAAAACCTCTACGTGCGACGGCACGTGACATTAGCCATATCAATTGGGAGATACCAGTGTTGAAAATCCAGTTTTGGTTTACGCTTATCCAGTAATGGTTTAGTGATGTTTACAAAGAGGTGGACGGTAAGGCAGACATTCGGATACATATTGTTAGACAAATGGACAGACAGACCGTCAGAAAAATGGACAGACAGACCGTCAGACAAATGGACAGACAGACCGTCAGACAAATGGACAGACAGACCGTCAGACGTACAGACAGACCGACAGACGTACAGACAGACGTACAGACAGACCGACAGACGTACAGACAGACCGACAGACGTACAGACAGACAGACGTACAGACAGACAGACAGACAGACGTACAGACAGACAGACGTACAGACAGACAGACAGACGTACAGACAGACGTACAGACAGACGTACAGACAGACCTACAAAATGCTGATTGTTCACATAAAGAGACTTACTTTGAAAAAAAAAAGAACTTTTCGGTACCTGAGCTCTAATATTCGTTTTCCCCTCAGAATCTGTACGTTGCTTTTTGCAGCACTATTACTATATATTAGCCAATTAAGATAACTTAAAGGCAAGGGTTTCCTGCCTTTTGCTGGTAATGGTGAATAACATGAGAGGGTGTTGATGAGATGTGAAAAGAATAGGATGATGGTGTGAGGTGGCAGATGGGATAGTGGGAGGTGACAGTGGTCTTTTTCTACCATCCCAGCATTCACCTGGATGATCGAGGGGAACCACGAAAACCCCAACCGGCACGGGCATCGAACCTCCCGATTACGAAGTCAGCTCGCTACGCACTGAGCCACATCACGACGTGCTGCAACGTTTAAGTTTTCTTTCATAATCCGATGCCATTATTCGGCGGTGGCGCTATGCTTCCAAGGACAATACGCACGGCGCGCGTTGCAACAACCTGAGAACGCAGCGGTCAGGGGCGGCGCGGCGTGGAAGAACCGAAACAACGCATGCTGCAACGCGACGCGCGCCCGGCCATGTGGCTGCGAGAGCGCGCCGCGGGCGTAGCCGGTGGAGGTCGGCGGAACCGCGCCCCCGCCCCGCCGCCCGCGCCCGCAGAACCCGCATGCCGTGCGAGACGTGGGCATCGAAGGAGACCAAGAGGAATGCTCGGCGCGAGGCCCGCCCGAGCCCCGCCGCCCGCCCGCACCAGCCCCACGCCACCCGCCGCGCCGCCCTGCCGCCCCGCCGCCCGCGCGCCGCCGCCCGCGCGCGCCGCCCGCGCCCCGCCGCGCTCCCGCGCCGCGGCAGACCCCGCGCCGCCACCCCGTCCTCTCCGCCTTCTGTCAACCTCGCGCCTTGTGGGCCCGACAGTCAAGGCCTCTAGCTTGTTTGCTTGTTTGCATGGCGGGGCCCTCCGGTCGCCCTCACTGCCGCGATCCGCGGGTCGCTCTGTCGTGCCACCCCCCACACCTCCGTTTGCGGCCTGCCGTCCGTTGGGGCAGGCCCGTCGTAGCAGGGCGGCGGCCCATGCGGTGTTTTAATTCTGGCATGTTGCGCAAAATAGGTAAAACCGGGGGCGACGGCGGCGCGAAATGCCAGTGACCGTGCGTTCCGCTTGCGGTAGAAAGTGAAAGAATATAATTGGACCGATGCTTTGTCTCTGGAGTATACTTTTTTTACTTTCTCTTTGTACCTTGAAGTATTGTGTTGCTTTTATTTTACAATCCAAGTTATTTTTTATTTTGAGTTAACATAAGAAACTGCTATTTACCTATTGTGTATTCTTCTTATGGAAAATTGAAATGCAGCAAACTGGCGCGAGATACTCTGCCGCAGGGAAAAGGCCCGGGGCATCCGCTACAAATTCAATAATCATCCGTAATGCTGATACCAAGCAATCTGTCCAAGTTGTTTCCTTAGGTTAGACAACTTTACTGTGGGGCACTTGTTTATGAAACGTGCGGCTCAGCTTCTGAATACTCTTCTACCACACTCCAAATTAATGCCGAACTGTTGTCCCAACACGCATTGATTTCCTGTCTTGTTGCCTTTACTCTTTTTTCCTCCTTTCTTCGTCGCGACTGTCTTGCCTGAGTCCGCTAGCTAACAGTTAGTTCTTTGTCCGTGGACTTTCTCTGTAATCCCCCTACCGTGCGGCGCCCTGCGCCCTTCAGCGCCGCTCATCCCGCCAGCCCGGCCCCGCTTAGCTATACAATGTTTAACGGTTTCCCTTGTGAAGAGGGAATTTTATCTTTATGGTTTGCTTTTTTGGGCGCAATTGCTATACTCCTTCTTCTCATTCTGTGTAAACTTTTACTTTTATATATTTCTTCTCCTTCTTTTTTTGGTTTTCCTTCTTCCATTTTCGTTCCGTCGGTTCTTCCGTCTCCCTTTCTCTCCCTTTCTTCGATTTTTTGCTATATGCTCTAGATAATCGCTATTTTGGTTACTTTTTTCAGTCAGTCTCTTAGGAATGCTTTCTAGATGTCCGCTGGTTTAGCGACACTCCCTGGAGCAAATTTTGTTATTCAGCAAATGTCAATCTCAGCGTCGGGTCTATCCTCTGTTTTTTACCATACTTACTTATAAAACTATTCCATTTCCATTCCTCAGGCCTTGTAACCTTGCCCTATACTTGATCGTTCCGACCGCCGCGTGGCAGACGGCCGGATTCCACCTTTGGCCACCTGCCTTCTTGTGCCTGCATACAGCCCTTCCGCTCTTCTGGCTCATCACTAACGCCTCCTTCTGTGTGACTGTCCTGCACTGCCGCTCATTCGCATATTTTGCGGCGTTGTCGAGCTCCACCT